GCGGAGGGACCCCCTCCCCTCCGAGTGCACAAATTTTTGTGCACCAGGCCTCTAGTCTATAATAAAAGGGTAACATGCTAATTACATCGGACAGCTGAACAACCTTCCAGGCGTCTTTCTGGATAAAGTCACTGCAGCAGGGGCTAAGGCAGAGGTGGTTAGGGGCAATCAGGCAGGCAGGTAGGCAGAGTGGTTAGGGGCGATCAGGCAGGCAGGGCCGCAGTTAGGAGCCAGTGGTCCCGGATTGTGAGACGGATGTTCGACTGCTGGTTTAGGCCTGATCCTGCAGGAATCCCTGTGGGATCTGGCCTAAATCGGCAGTCAGATATCCCCCGAGGGTTTCCGGATTGAGAGAGGATTCAGGTCAGGCTGAGGGATGACCCCCCGCCCCCCCACCACCCATGCACAAATTTCATGCACCGGGCCTCGTTTTTTAAAATAAATTAATTAAATAAATAAACAAATAAATAAATAAACTTTAGGGCAGCCCTGTCTAGCATGGCTCAGTCTCAGGTTTGATACCTGGTCAGGCACATACCTAGGCTGCAGTTCCAGTCCAGGTGAGATCAGGAGGCAATCTATCAATGTTTCTCTCTCTCTCTCTAACTTTTGAGGCAAGGTCATAGATGGAGAAGCCATATATTGTATTACAATGGCACTCAAGCAACCCTGGAAGAGACCGACACTGGAAAGAACTGAGGTTTTCCATCACCAACATGAATTTGCCAGCCATGTGAATGAGCCACCATGGAATTAGATCTGATGACTGCCACCCCAGCCAGTATCTAGACTGCAACCTTGTAAGATACCCTAAGACAGAAACCCCCCACTAAGCTGCTCCCTAATGTTTGACCCATATAAATTTCTGAGATAATAAATGTATGATGTTGTTTGAATCCACTAAATTTTGGACAATTTGTTATGTCCAATAAATAACTAATATACTTTGCTTCCTTTAATGACATGGGACTCAAGTACTCCTTTCTTACTTTTCTATGTAAATAGTAAATTTAAAACATCTCACAAAACACAATGGATATCATTATCATTAAAATTCCATTTTTAAGTGTCTTATTAAAAAAAAGTACTAGGCTTGCTGGACAGTTTCCGTTCCCAGATATGGATAGACTCTACTAATGTAAAATTACTGCCTAAGGCAAAAACTTAACTTCTCAGTCATTTATCAATTATTTATTGCGTGCTTCTTTCTTTGGGTATTTTTAATTATTTCCTTGAAAGATGACAAATGCACATGATAGGAAAAGGTGAAATAGAGTATACAGTTGTTTGTTTTATGTGCCCCAAGCATGAAAAAGGTGGATGTCTGATTTCTAAAACTGTGAGACAATAAGTTTCTGTTGTTTCTATTGGCCCCCAACATAGGCATCAAGTTAGTATGAACTAAAGACTATATATATCTACTTTTCCCTTGACTTATGTAAGAGCAACACTACCAACCGGGTGTCTCTTTACCCACTGCCAGGGGGTGGTATACAGTATTTCCTGCATATCCTTTTAGAGATATTCTATGGTTACATAACATCTGTATAAGTAACTTTATGTCTTCCCCACAAATGAAAGCACACTATACACCTGGTCCTGCACCTTTGTTTTTCCCTTTAATGTATACGAGATCATTCCGTATCCAGTATTCAAGCTTCCTGTGAGTACAGAAGCACCTACATCAGTTTCCTTAGCTGGGTATGTAAATCAATATTGTGCTATACCAATATCAAGTTGCTATTTCTATCGACCTGGACTTAAGGTTCTAAATCCAAGCAATAAAGCCTTCCCTCTAAAGCAGCCGTGGGCAAACTACGGCCCGCGGGCCGGATCCGGCCCATTTGAAATAAATAAAACTTAAAAAAAAAAAAAAAAGACCGTACCCTTTTATGTAATGATGTTTACTTTGAATTTATATTAGTTCACACAAACACTCCATCCATGCTTTTGTTCCAGCCCTCCGGTCCAGTTTAAGAGCCCACTGTGGCCCTCCAGTCAAAAAGTTTGCCCACCCCTGCTCTAAAGGCCTATGATAAAGGTATCACCTAAAGGGAATTTTGCCCCATTAATTTTTATTCCTTTTCTTAATATTGACACATACAGTTGGAGTTTTTTACTTACTTTTTTTTACAATATTTTAAAATTATGGTACAATACATGTAACATAAAATTTATCATCTTAACCTTTTTTAAGAGTTAGTGTTAAGTAAATTCATGTTGTTGTGAAGCCATCACCACCATCCATCTTCAGAACTCTTTTCATCTCACAAAACTGAAACTCTGTTACCTATTAAATAACTCCTTATTTCCCTCCCTGCATCCCCTGGCAATCATCATTCTACTTTCTATCTCTATGGTTTTGACTACTTAAAGTACCTTATGAAAGGGGTTTACAAGATTTTAATTCTTAAAGCAGTTGTACATTGAATGATTTCATACAACACAATCAAGGCATATGACTAAGTAGATGCTATGAGCTAAACTGTGACCTCCCCAAATTCATGTTAAAATCTTAGGCCCCAGTACCTCAAAATGTGACCTTATTTGGAAATAACCATTGCACATGTAATTAGTTAAGATGAGGTCCTTATAAAAAGGAAAATTTAGAACACAGACACACACAGCAAGAATACTATGTGAAGACTAGAATTATAGCCCTGGTCAGTTGCTCAATGGTTAGAGCATTGAGCCTGGGACCAAAGGGTCCGCAAGTTCGATGCCTGGTCAAGGGAACCTATCTCAGTTGCAGGCTCGATCCCTGGCCCCATCCCTGGCCCCAGTCAGGGTGTGTATGTGTGTCTCTCACATCAATGTTTCTCCTCCCTCCCTTCAACTCTCTCTAAAAAAAAAACAAAAACAAAAACACAAACACAAAATAAAATAAAAACAATGGAAAAAATATCCTTGGGTGAGGATTAAAAAACAAGCAAACACGTGGAGTTATAATGCCATACGCCAAAGAACTACCAAAAGCTAGAAAGCCTGGAACAGATCCTTTCCTAGTATCTGATTTTCAAAACCGTGAGATAATGAATTTCTGTTGTCCTAAGTCTCTGTTTGTGGTACTTTGTTATGGCAGCACTAGGAAACTAATACAGTAGGTAAGAACCCTATTTTAAAGATAAGATATTGTCAACTGAGTACATAGTGCCTCTTGCTCTTTGAGGCAGTATGTACTCTTATATAATACAGATGCCTGATAGTATTATACTTTGCAACCCCACCACATTACATAAATTACACTAATAATTCCCAAAACTCATTCTTTCCACAAAAACACACACACCTACTTCGGCAGTAAATTCAGAAGATATCAACACTTGGCACAAAATAGACTCACACTGAGGGAAAAAAAAAGTACTGAAAAGCTTTAGAAATTAAATATTATAGTATCAATACTTACCTAAAATTAAAACTTAAGTGAATATATTCTAAAATTTGCCTAATAACATATTTTATCAGTCAAACTCTTTCAATCTAATTAAATCATTCTTTTTTACCCAGTAAAATGGTTTGGGCTAATGATTAAGTATCTCTCTTTTTTTTTTTTTTTACTTAATACATCACCATTACTGAAAATAAAAGGTTAAGCTTGAATATCAATTATTTATGGTCACTTTTGATGTTCACCTTCTGTTGGAGCCAATGGATTCTTGTTGCCACTTCTATCTAGCTATTTTCAGGTGATTTACAGTATTTGGAAGCATTAGCCGCTATTACTCACTTGCCAAATCCTGAGTTCAGAATTCTTTCTTTTCGAGATGAATATAAAAGCACCTGAAAGTCAAGGAAAATGTTCTTCCTGTGATAAGAAAAAATAAAAAGAGCATTACAGTAAGGATACAGCCCTCACTTGTGCTATAAGCATTCTTGTGCAAAATTACTCAAGTGAATCCAGCTTTTCTAAAAAACATAAAACATTATCACTATCAAACACTATTCAGAAGGAATCATCAGAAAGAAGTTACTACTGTCCACCTGCACGGCATTAATTTGATAAATATGCAAAGCTCTTGGAGCAGCGGTTCTCGGGTTACTAAGGAACAATGTCCCCTTTAAGGATGATGCTGCGGACCCTCTTCCCCCACAAAGGACCTTTGCTTTAGTGCAGATGGCCACTCCCCTCTGAAAGGCAGAGGGAAGAATGTTCCTCCTTCCTCTGCCCCTATCTTCTTGATGAAATGAAAGAAAAACCCCCAAAACCCCCCAAAACCTACTTCCGACAAAACCAAAAGAAAGATCTTATTTAAAAGTCCTTTACCCGATATTTTCAGCTCTGCTAAAGCCAGGGCCGGCAAAGAGCACACCAGAAACATGCGCTTTATATGACGTGTCATTTGAACTGGGCCCGACTCACAGGCCACTTTTCAAGAGCTTCACCAACTCATAACCCCGGTAACAGGAACTCTCCCAGGAGTTTACCTCAAAGACTGACCGCAGGGTTACAACAATCCAAATTACAACGAAGAGCTGCCCCATAATGTTAAACAAGAATCGAATACAGATGCCTGACAGTATTATACTTTGCAACCCCACCACGTTACACAAATTACACTAATAATTCCCCAAACCCATTCTCTCCACACACACACACACAAAAGTAAAAACTACGCTGACTCTAGTTCTGGAAAACAACAAGGAGAATTCCCCCGAGACGCAGAGTCGGCCGCGATGAATGCGCCATCAGGGAGCCGTCAGGTCACCCAAGGACAAAGCTGCTGCCCGTTCTTCCCAGTCGGACGTGGGAGGGGGACGGACGGCCACAGTGCGGGCGGCCGGGGATGTGCGCCACACGGACTCCGATTACAATCCGGGGGCGACTCGTTCGACCCAAACTCAAGGTCAACGGACCACACACACAAAACACTCAAGAGCCGCCACAGGCCCGGGTGCACGCCGGCGCCTCAAGCACAGCAGTGACCACGAAGCCGTGAGGGAGGGGGGACTCTAAATAAATAAAAAAAGCATATTCTTCGAAAGACAAATCGCCGGCCAACGCAGCAGCTGCCAGATATACATCTGCGTGGGCGCAACCATGCGGGCAGCCAAAGGCATGGTGCTGAGGGGGACGGCGGCGGGACGAGGGGCGAGTGGTGATGCGACACACCTGGAAGGCGAGTGCGGTCGCCCTGGGCAGCTCGGGAGGAAACGCACGCCCGGCCGACGCCCGTGCAGGCTGCGGGCAGGCTCCGGGCGCTCCTGTACCCGCGCGGAGTTGGGCCGCGCCACTTCCTGCTTGTCCCCGATCGCTGGCCTCCTCGGCTTACCTCGCAGGAGCCAGCAGAAGCGCTGGACCGGCCAGGAGCCGGCCCCCCGGCGCCAAGGCCGGCGCGCCGCGGCACGCCTCAGGCCGCCATCTTTGCTCCTTCAGAAGTCCGCCAACCCTGCGGGGTCCGTTTCCGCCAGCCTCGGCCCCTCGGCACTGATTGGAGAACGACTTGCGCAGGCGCGCTCTCCTTCCGTTGGAGGTTGGTTGTAACGCACGTCAATCAAGACTCCTAGTGCACTCGTTCCATCCCTTTTTCTTGGATTGGTTCCCAGGGTTGAGGTAATAAGGAAAAATGCTTTTGCAATTCATTCGTTAGGAATGTAACATTTCCGCATAGAAGCAGTGTCACTTGCTGGTAAAGTAGTTTGAGTAGGCCGCATGACTATTTTAAACCACCATTAGGCTAAAGTCAGTAGCACTAATAATTTCCTTCTGTGGACGAGAAGGGGACACATGCTGACCTGAGGAGCTCAGGGAAGGCCTGCGTGGCGGCCTTGCAAAGTCAGAGACCTAAAGTAACCTCAAAGGATAGTCTGAAATTAAAACTTTTTAAACTAAAAAGCGGTTTATGGTGGGTAGTAATGTCCTAGGCTGGTCTCTTTTCTGACAAAAGTCCATCTTTATTTTGAGCCTGTCTATTGTCTTTTTGCATCTATGATAACATAACGTTGGTCAATGCAACATTAATGGAATATTTTGAAGACTTATCACCCCCTGTCCCCCCCAACACAGATATTATTCTTCTTGGGACCCAGGCAACGAGAGAACCAAAAACAAAACCATAAAATAGTGTCAACGGAGATAATAGAGATTGTTCTCATTTATTTCCTCTTAACAACCATCTCCCTCCATGTTTAAAAATTCTCTGCAGAGCCCTAGCCAGTGTGGTTCAGTGGATGGAGTGTCAGCCTGAGGACCCAAGGGTCGTGGGTTCGATTCCATTCAAGGGCACATACTTTTGTTGCCGGCTCCTCCCCAGCCCGGGCTCTGGTTGGGGCTCCTGCAGGAGGCAACCAATCACAAGCATGTGTTTCTCTCACATGAATATTTCTCTGTCTTTCCCTCTTTCTTCCACTTTCTCTAAAAGTCAATGGAAAAATATTCTCAGATGAGGCTTAAAAATAATAATAAAAATTCTGCAGATCCAATGGTATTCCCCAAACCAACGACAAACACAAAAACTTTTGTAAACTGCTATTATATTTGCTTGGAGAAACTAGTAATTATATTATGCATCAACAAGCAGGAATTCTAGATCACCTAGGTAAACCTCTGTTGTAATTTAGAAATTCTGAAAGATTTCTGACAAAAAAATGGTCAAAGACTTTGCTTAAGTCTGTGCAGCGACTGCTGGATACCCACAGAGTTCTTCTACCTTCTTCCTTATGAAAAGCGATCATATTTCCCAGGCTTCCTCACTGGTAAGGTGTGGCATGTGACTAACCAAGTAAAAAAACGGTCATTCAGGATTTTGCCTAGCAACCAATAGCTAGGGAATGCATTAGCTTTGGGGATATCCTGTTCATTTGAATAATTATAATTATTAGAATATTTTTCCTAATTAAAATAATTTGGAATCCGTCAACCTATCACTTCCACTCATCATTAATCTTATAGTATAATGTGCCTTGGTTGGGGGTTCAATCCCAGGTCAGGGCACATACAAGAAGCAACCAATGGGGAGCACTATCTCAATTCGTTGAGGTTCTGTTTCCTGGCATATGGCTACAGTTTGGCTCAAATAAACTCACAAAAATTAAAAAAAAAAAAGCAACCAATGAATGCATAAACAAGTGGAACAACAAATCGATGTTGCTCTCTTTCTCTTTCTAACATCAACAATAATAAATTAATTAATTAAAAATATAAAAAGAAGGGCAGCCGAAACCGGTTTGGCTCAGTGGATAGGGTGGCGGCCTGCGGACTGAGGGGTCCCGGGGTCGATTCCGGTCAGGGGCATGTGCCTGGGTTGCGGGCACATCCCCAGTGGGAGATGTGCAGGAGGCGGCTGATCGATGTTTCTCTCTCATCGATGTTTCTGACTCTCTGTCTCTCTCCCTTCCTCTCTGTAAAATATCAATAAAATATATTTCAAAAAAGAAAAACAAAGGGCAATATAATCCTATGGTGTTAAGTTTGAGAAACGGAGAAAGGCAAAATAAAAAAATCTTGTATGTTTAGCATGTGTCAGACACTCATTTAATCCTCACACCAACCTATGACTTAGATACTGCTATCATCATCATCATGACCCTTATTTTACAATTAAGGAAAAGGACACAGAAGAGTTATGTGAATTGCCCAGTTCATGTGCTTGGTTAAGTAGCAGAACCAGGATCTGAACCCACAGGATCTGTTTCCAAAGTATGTGCTCTTAAGTTCCACATTAAACTATCTAATTATTTCCTCTAGAAGAATACTGGTAACAGTGAGACTTTCAAGAACAGATCTTTAGCAATCTGACGATATATACTAAATATTTCAAGAGAGCTACTTTCTTTTCTCTAGGTTAAAGCCTCAATTCCTACAATTGCTCATGAAAATAAGTTACCCTGAACCTCTCACCATTTTGCATCTTAGTAGCAAATAATTTATCGATGTCCTTCTTAAAAGATGATGGTCTTTAAACTTGTGATATCTTTTTTTAAATTTTTTATTTATTTCAGAGAGGGAGAGGAGAGAGATAGAAACATCGATGAGAGAGAATCATTTATCGGCTGCCTCCTGCACGCTCCACCCTGGGGATTGAGCCTGCAACCCAGGCATGTGTCCTTGACCGGAATTGAACCCAAGACCCTTCAGTCCACAGGCTGATGCTCTATCCACTGAGCCAGACCAGCTAGGGCTGGTGTGAGGCAGGGGTCCAACTTCAATCCTTTGCATGAGGATATCCAATGGCCCCAGTTATACCAAAAGACTACTGTTTCCCCCATTGGATTGCTTTGACAGCCTTGTCAAAGATCAGTTGATTATAAATGAGAGGATTAATTTCTGGACTCACAATTCGAGTCCATTGCTTTATAGTCTGTCTTTGTGCCAGTATTGCAGTGTCTTTATTTTCAAATTGGGACATGTGAATCCTCCAATTTTGTTCCTCTTTTTCAAGACTATTGACATTGATTTTTAGATTCTCGTTATATAGTTATTCAACTGCCATCTTCAAATATGTCAGCTATAATCAACCCAATTTTTTCCACCTTAACTATATAAATATATGAGACACAGGCATGTGCTTTGCAGAACACTGTATCTATCTCATTGATCTGACATATAAATTTAATCAAACCTTGAAATAAGTGAAGGGAGAGAAAGCCAGCATAATTATTTGCCAAACACATCAGTATCCTGGTGATCATCACATTCTTTTCCATGGCTTCACAAACCATGTAATGACCCATTCTAGTATTCTGCTGGGGAATAATGTCAAATAGGTGAGTGGATCATTTCTGAAATCTGCCCTTTTCCCCTTCTGCAAACTTTGCTATTATATGCCTCT